ACTGTAAAGGAGTTCATTGTTAAACCAGACACCAGCTAAAAAAACTAAACACCAGCTTAAACACCTTGCACACGTGACTGCTAACAATGATTTACAACAGGGTCTGGCCAGATGACACACACTTTAATAAGCACATTGTGGGTGTTTATCTGCAAGCACTGTAATCAAAGATGAGAATGAGAAGGACGGGGAGACAGAGGCTTTAGTGAATTATGGTTGTCAGAGAAGAAACAATGAGCTGCTTTAACTGAGATAAACTGTTAAAGTGTGGAACACAGTGGAGTGGAAGAATATAATAAAAAACAGGAGTGTATTTGGTTACAGCATAAAGAGACACATTTGTCCACTGGATACCTTTGGTTTAGCCCACATGGGACACACGAGAGAGTGCAAAGACGGACACAGCCACAGAAAAAGACGCTGCACCAACTAGTAGACACAAAGCATGATGGGTTAAGCCAGAATACCAGCTAAATAATAACTGTAATCGACACTATTCAAAACTGGTAACCTCTTCCATATGCACGGCAATCTCCCATGATGCACAGCAGCCAAATTTTAGCATTGGCTTGATAAACTAAAGAACATAATTTGCTGTTTGTCACCTTTTCTTAACTGCAACTCAGGTTTAGTTCTGTACATCAGGACTACAGGTCCTAAGAAGATCAGAAACAGAACACACCCTATATGGCTGCAGTATCCTAGCGACAGCTCTGGACACTCCCTCTTCATCGCTCATAAACCTCACAGGAAACACATTTACACCTACACAGCTTTAATCACAGCCCTGCTGACATGAAAAACCCCAGGGGTTTGTCATTTTAGTAGAGCACCAGCAGAAAACAGACACAAGTTGCAGAGATGGGCTAAAAAAATGCCACACACAGACAGTCTTGCCACAATTGCCCCACTTCTCCTCACATCACATCTTTACGTCTATAAAGCTGCAGAAAAATGCAGACTTATATGATTTTTTTTCCTATCTTATATTTCCCGATTAGACTGAAGAATATGGATAAATGGATGGATAGTGTGTATAAAAAAAAATCAACTAGAAACTGTTGACATTCTTTGTCAGGAAGCCAAAACACGTCCCACTGTGAACTTTAATTTAGAGATAGATAAAGCATGTTATCTGTGTTCAAGTATTTGACTATGGTGGAGGAAGACATATCTTTCACTACAGGCACTTATCATATGAGTCAATTTTCTTCATTACAAACAGCTTCAATATACAGTATTTCCTATGGGGAAGTGATGTTCAACTTCATGACTGTGGCTTTCAAGTGTCTTTTATCATAAAATGAGAAACGCTTCAGGGACTTCTTCTCATGCTTATATTTTATGAGCCACATCTGTGTTTCCCACAATTTTTTTATGTACACTAAATTTACTCATGAGTAACAAACACTTCTTTTTCCAAAAACTGCACTTGCACAGACAGACTTGTTAGAGAATGGATTACTGGCTCCTTATCTTAAGGTCATTGCCTATGAGTGATAGCCTGTGTTTGGGTTTGTGGAGGCAGCCACTTGAAATTTGATAGCGCTTTACTACAGGACGCTTGGAAAAATCATGATCAACTGTAGTTTTTCAGTTGACAATGTGAGGTTCGGTGTAAAGCCGGTGAGCAAGGATCTAAAGTCTTTTCCCACCAATTTAGTTGTTCAATATATTAGGAACTTAAATTGTGGAAAGACGTATAAGTGGGGAGGGAGTGTAGAAGGAAGGAAGAGGGGGGGCAGGATTTTATTTCACAACCACACCTACCTCCGACCGAGACTACCTTTCCGTTTCCCACCCTTTCCTGTACGCAACACATACACACGCACCTACGCTGACCCCTGGTTCACTCACTTCTAATATTACACCATATGTCACATCAGGAGTCTTTGAGTACGGCACTGAAGCCAGATGAAGAATTTGAGAAATTCTGGAAAATATTTGCAGAGCGACTGAAGATTGAAGTGGCTAAAGCCAGAAAGGTGGAGGTTTAACCATCCAGCTGTAATGAGGGACTGTGTGACTGACAGCAGTAATGCTATAGCAGCTAATTTTGGGAGGGACGTGAGAGGAGCCAGGGTATAGAGTCATACAGGGTTAACGCTGAAGAACAGATTATGGGTCTGACTCCCCGAGGCCGAGGGGTCACAATAACAGGCTTCTTCCTATCAGAGTCTGCTGGAAAATCACGTCATTGAGCACCTGACAGATCAGAACAGATAGCAGACCCATAACAACATACAGTGTATGAGTGGCCGGCCAGCAGAGCAACTCCCAGACAGAACATGAACATGTTTAAAGGGTTATCCATTGTCCACATCCATTGTGTGTACTGCCATGTCATCAGTGTGGTAATATCTAAGGTTAGGCAAGTTACTCATGGATAAAATCTAGTAAAACACAGACATAAACTATGATAAACTTTATAGACAGGAGTAGGTATGTGACACATACTTTCCATGGTAATTTGTAAGGTATTTCCTACATTTAGTTGATGCTGCTTTTAGACGTATGGTTTCCTAAGGGCTCTAGTGGTTCAAAAAAATGATTTCACAAGGCACGCTTTAGCAAGCATGATAACAGGCCTCCAGACACTGTGTAGCCATGTTCATAAACCCTAGAAAGATGGCGAAAGAAAGAAGAATGATATTTCACAGTCTGTGGTGGCGTTTGTGTATTTATAGTGAGTGTATGGTGGTTTTAGCGGCGCTCCTTATAGCACTGCTAAATCAACTCTGCCACTCAGTCAGAGTGGAATCCGAGCCAAAGTGAAATCAGCAGATGATGCTCATGCACAGCTGCCAAAATTGTAAGCTGTAACTCTGGTCTCCGCAGCTGAGCGCCGCGTGTGCATCCGTCTGTGTTCATATCACTTCATGATATGAACACAGAAAATGAATTAACTCAAAATCAATTTGAGTTTGTCCCTGTGGTCACATTATTTAAGATTCATCAGCTGTGACTCCGGGTATCTTACCATCACACAGTCTGACAACAATCACAAAGGTAAGAAAAAAGACACGGAGCACCAGCTGTCTGATAGGACTTAAGCAATAAGACATTTATACATGAACTAGACACATGAGTTACTGCATCTATTTCACTGGCATAGGTCCAGACCAGCTGAAGACTCAGTTCTCCTTTTAGGCTGCTGCACACCTGCATTACTTCTTTCTAATTCTGGATGCCTCATTTCCCCGTCCAATGTTCTGCAATCTCTACATAACCTCTTCATTTCTATGTACATTTCAACAGAAAACTAATACCACGTCATCAATGAGCAGCCAGAAAATGTTTAGTTTATGACTCTTTACATTTAGAGGAACCAACTGTGTCAGTTTGTCAGCTAATGTATATTTTTCACCATTATACACCATATTGGTGTGTATACACACATGTGCATCTGTGCATGATGACTAAAAGCCAATTTTACATTCTTCACCAATCAAGGTTTTAGTTGATTTAAGCAGGAAATCCACTCCACATGTGATTAAAGCCAATCTTCACTTTTAAACATCTTGATAAAAGACTCTTAATTCTCTGTCTGAGGTTTTTTCAAAATATCCAAATTCCATATAAAAGCCCCCTGAGAACTGAGTGTCTGAGCAGAGGATCTGGTTAGGTTTATCACCAGCACTTGTTGTGAGTATAATAAAGCCCTGCTTCCATCTGTTGCAATATTTTTTTTTTATTATATCTGGTTATGCAATTTATATAGAGATGTTGGTGTGGCTCCCACCTGCTCCTCCAGGCCAGGGTCTGATTCCCTGACTCTCTCTCTCTCTCTGTCTCTCCTTGTTAGAACGGAGAGGCATTATCCTGCCACAACACATGGTTGAGCAATTATTCCATGCATACCCCTGCAGAGAGGGAGAGAACTAGACAGAGGGAGAAAGTAATTTGAAGTCGTGATCGCGGGCAGCTGGCCAGGGTTTTGAAGGGTTCTGGGAGAGAATGTGTCAAAGTTAAGCACAACTCCCCTAATCCCTTTCTCCAAGAATGAACAGACGAAGGGACTGAAAAGAGAGAGAAGTGAAACGGGGGAGGGAGGGTAACACTAGAGCAGGAAAACTAAAGAGACCGGTCTGGAGTGATGACAAACCAGTAAACAAAGCTACACACAAACAACACAGTGCATCTGGACTGGATGCTTGCAGAATATCAAGTTTTGGATTGACAACAAAAGAAGTGAAACAAACAAGTTGTGTGCTTGATCAGGTCCCTGCAGCGGGGGACACAGGCCTCCCCTCTGTCTCAGGAAGTTTTATCACATTAGGATCAATAACTTAAATAAACTTTGTTTCAGATTCTTTGTGGTTCTTGAGTTGTGTCACTTGTGTCAATATGTCCTGCTGGAATGGCACCTCTGGAAGTGTAAGCTCAGAGGAACATGGGTGTAGTAGCGCAGAGGATGGGGTGAGGCGGGCTATTTAAAGGGCAATAAAAAGGGCAGGTTCAAAAACTTCAAAACATGTATGCCTCGGGCAGTATGGCAGGCTACACGGACAATTAGTGCTGGAGCCAAAGGATGCACTGTGGACCCAGAAATTATTTTTTACAGCAGATGAAAAATCAATAAACCTAATTACAATTATACAATGATAATGTAAACTCCTTAATGAAAATAAAATAGCATCCCCTATAAATTGCTTGTAATTGTTTCAGCAAACATCTATTTTTAAAATTCTGATAACAACAAATTCAGTTATTCAATTTCAGTTATTCTTTCACGTTGCTAGTGTTTTGTTTGGCGCTTCTTCAGTGTTGGGTGGTGTGTTGGAGATGGATGATAAGGACACTGGGCAAACTAGGTTTCCCTGTGGTCTCGGATAAGTTGGCATAGTTTTACATTGATAACGCTTATATTGCCATAATTCATTGAGTTTCTCACTTTTAAATGCTGCTAAGATGAACATTAGCCTCACAGTATTGGACACAGGTCATCATAACAGGTACGAGACCATGCAAAGGTTCGACACGGAATAAAGTGAACTTACCAAGTAAGAGACAGAGGATGTCGAGGACTATTAGCAGCTTCTTCTTGCTGTTGTCAACGCCGTTGTTGTTATTTAACGTAGAGGTTCCTCCGTTCCTTGTCTCTTGAGCCATAGCTTTCTCATACATGTATTTTTGCATTGGAGAACGTCCCGGATCAGTTCCAAATCCCACACCACGCGGTACGTGAAAACACACTGTGAGGTTCTCAAGTCCTGTTAAGAAGTGTCACGCAGCTGCAGCGAAAACAAAGCTTCCCAAGTCAGAGCTTTCACAGTGCTGCAAACGTGTCGCTGTGAATCGGTGTGACGAAAGCATAAAAATAGTAAAAATAAACAAAACAATACAGGCTGGTGAACACACCCGTGCCGCTGACTCTGAAGGAAGAAAATTTTTTTTTGCAAATGAATGGAAAGCCCGCTCCCCTTTATCGCTACTGCTTCAAAGACAAGGACCGAATAACTATTGAGCTCAAACAGCCGCTCTTGTTGTATCAATTCTTCTCCTTCTCCTCCTCCTCCTTCTCCTCCCCTGTGCTCCCTCAAGTTCCCCCAGGCTCAGCCCTTTTCCAAAATCTAGTGGAGGGTAATCACCTCCATCCTTGCATGGAAAACTTTCTCAAACAGAGAAGAGTTAGAGGGAAGCATCTGCCCCTAGCGATCACACACGGCATAACATACGCGCTGGAGATACAAAAAACAAACAGAAATGCTTAAATGCTTTTTAAATGTATTATACATGTTAAAAGTATAAATTTTTAATCTCAAACTGATATAATTCTCGAGAGGGATGCAAAATCAAGTGGGTCAATAAAAACAACACATTTTCTATTAAGCTATTACACATATAAAGCGTCAACAGATTTGTTTTGTGAAAAGTTGTCAATAAGTCAAAGAAAGGAAAGAAAAACTCAACTCGAGCTTATGATCTTCAACTATTTACCCCTATGTATAAATTTAATTGGCGCCCACGTTATTTGACCAAAGAAAACGGAAACGTATCTTTACTATCGCTGCTTATTGGAGTTTCAAGAAATATTTTTTAGAAAGAAATCTTTTATTAAATTATTTACTAACTTCAATGACATAATACGTGCGTAAACAGATTTGTTTGGCAAAAAATGGTTAAAATATCAATGAAGAGACAAAAACACATTACTGCAGATAAACACGATCTTCGTGTTTTCACTTGGTTTCAATGTTATATTTACACCAACCATGGAAAACGCATGAGAGCGTCTTCTATCGAATAGTGCTGGTTATTGTACAGATACTGCCATCTAGTGGCTTAAGTGATAACTCACTTAATCGGCTTTTGAAACACATTTCCCAGGATACATTTTAATGGTGCCGAAGTTATGTGAGCGAAGAGAACGTATAACGTTTCAATATCGTTGCTTAGTGGATTTTGGAAGTTGAATTTAATTTTTTTTTTATCAATTATGCAGTAACACCATGCCATGTAACCCATGGACCTTCGTTTTTTAAATAACAGTCTAGTCTTTTTTATGCTGTACATCACCGTTATGAATAATTTGGAGAAAGTGGTGTTCTATTTAATAGCAGTGTTTTGTAATGTGCATCAGCGCAACTATCTGCATTGCTGCCTGCTTGAGTAAACTAGTGATGTTATCAACTTTTTCTGAGTTAAGTTGTGATAACATTGTTAAAAATGTATTAACGGTTTCCTTAGCATTATTAAAACGCTTCTCTCCTTCAGTGGCGCATTATTTTAGTTGCAACATTTAAATTGTGTTTAATGTCTAATTTTCCAAATACTGTACATTTCACACCCAAAACTACTTTATGTGCATCTACGGACACATTTTTTATAGTATCTGCTATTTTTTTTATTAATTTGTCCGTTATGTCTCTATTTCTAGTCTCGTCGTTTGCAGTCATAAACAGACCATCATTTTTGCTTAATGGATTTCTTTTACAGTATTTTTGATTGTTAAGAAACAAAGCAAATACAGTTGAATAAAAAAGGAATAGAAATGTAAATAAATATACGTTATTATTTATACTAGTTGTCTTTCATGTTACATTTGACTTTTATAACGTACCCTTTGTTGGATGGATATAAATTGCAGCAGTAGTGGTATAATAAATAAACAAATAATTAAATAAAAATGACGACGAAAATGACGGTGCAAGTTTTTTTCTTTTCATGAGATGCAAATCTTAACATGATACCGAATCAGATACGAAGCCAGGTCACTGTGGATGCCTTCTTTAAAGGAAACTTACCGATTTTAAGGGCAAATTTTATGATATTTCCAAAATATGAAATTAACTGACGAAGTTACGTGTTTTAATATTTCCCTTAAAATTAGTATTTGACTAAAGGTAGTCGAGTTGATAAAAAAAGACCCTCCTTTCTGTTAAGAAGTAAACTGGACCGCCCCTCCCGCACGACCCAACAGGCGGCTGCCGGCAACACAAACACACCTCAGCAAACCCAGCCGTTGGTAACGGCGAAGATGGCAGAGCGGCAACAACAGAAACATGAAGGCAGGGTAAAGATTGGACATTACATCCTTGGCGACACGCTCGGAGTGGGCACATTCGGGAAAGTTAAGAGTTAAGTCTTGTTACTGTGTCATAAAGGTGTCATTTTAAGGTGTGTGCATTTCAGCAGGAGTAACGTATGAAGTAGTCACCGAGCCTCTCCCCCTCCACGGACAGCGTTGAAGTTGCGGACGGTCGTTGCGCAGTTTGCGCACCGAGACGCCATAACAGTTTCGGCAGACAGAAATATAACGTAACCATATTCTGAGAATTTGACCGCTTGAATGTCAAATTCTTTCACCAAACCTCATATTTGTAGATTATGTGGTAGGTGTTTTGACATGTACAAGACTTCAGTTAGCAGAAAAAATATTTGCATAAGGAATATTATCGTATAACCGAATTGAAGGGGTTTTATGTTGTGGTCGGTTTGTAAAGGACATTACCTAGACTCACAGCTTCGCAGAAACTCGCTGTGTGATATTTGATTTCAACTGACAAAATCTGTGTGAACGTCGCGGCGAATACGGGACCTTATTTCACTGACATGCAGATAGAATATCTTCTTTTTGGGAACACCCTCTACATGTGTTAACTTGTAATAGAGAAGCACATTCCTAGAAACACAAAGAGGCGTTATTCCTGCTTATGCAGCTAGGTTGCGTCTGTTCCAGTTGACCTTGTGAGCTGGGAATCTACGATGACTCCTCCTCTTTTTACGTTCGCAGGAGAGTTGACTCACCTGTAACGATACAAAGGACGTGATTTTCGTACAAGAATACACAAACACACCCTTTAATTCAAGATCACAGTCCAGAACTTATTTATACTATACTATTTATTTATTTGTTTGTTTGTTTATTTTGGCCAAAACTATTTTAATAAGATAATAAAGATAATTTTAATAATAATAATTGTTTCCTTTTTTTAAAACATTGTAGCTATCTGCAAAATAAATGAACTAATAATGGCAATAACAAACAGTAATAATAATAACAACAATAATACTAACATACTGTACCTGACATGAATAATTTAAATACAAAACATAAATAATACATACATGTTAACAGTGAAGGCAATATGACCTAAATCCTGCAGGATTGCATCTCATGGACGAGTCAGATGTGTTCAGGTTTATTACAGAGTTAATTGGATTAGTCAATGTCATGTTTCAGCTTTAATTACACTGTGTTGTCATAGGTGTTGAGTTATTCTATAATAATGACCTTTCTTTACAAATAGAAAGGTGAGATTTTAGGCCTCTTTAATTCTGATTGGCCTGCTAAAGTTGTTTTCGAATGAAACTGGAAAGTGTTTCAATCTTATTTTATTTAACATTCATGTTTGCCATGCTGAGTCTCTGAATATTGTGCTTAGTTGTGTGTAAAATACATTGAATTTGGCATGTTTATGTGTTTATCTGCTTCATAAAACCGTTCTTCTGTTTGTAGTTGGAGAGCATCAGCTGACAGGCCATAAAGTGGCTGTAAAGATCCTAAACAGACAGAAGATCCGCAGTCTGGATGTTGTCGGGAAGATCAAACGAGAGATTCAGAACCTCAAACTGTTCAGACACCCGCACATCATCAAGCTGTAAGTGGAGGAGAGGACAATCTGGACTACCACCAGATATTTATACTAAAAAAGTATATGTGTGTTCTGTCCTATACCAGTTCTTTGTTGACATGGTAGGAGTTGGACATTCTACACTGATAGCCTACAGCTATTGGTGTCTCCTGTGTTTATCTCCAACCTTCTGTTTAATTTAACTTCAGTGTCCTTGGTCCTTCTCTCCTGTTCTATGTCTGTTTTCTTCAACAATCTCTATGTTATTTTTAGGTCAGGGTGAACACTAGTCTGCCATCACACTGTTAGTGATGGCAGATATGTGAGCTCCCTGGTCATGAGCTGTAGAGTAGAGAACCACACATATACATATATAAAACACAAGCAAGTTTATATGAGAAACACAGGCTTCCTGTGAGAAAAGAGAAATTCTGTTGTCATTGTTTTACAAAGATTAATTGAATCAGTTTTATTTTGGTTTTACATTTCAGATGCCCCTTCCTGGTTTTATAATTTTGGTTTATATGTCACCTAGCCCTACCTACAGTATACCGTGCTACATTTTGCTTGAGGAATGAAATGTACTATAATTAGACTCTCACGAGCAACCATTCTTGAGCTTGGCTTATCATTTTTATATGTTTAACCTTGGAATTGAAGAAAGTACTCAGCAGCTGTGCTTAACTATACTTTACTATGTTTTAGTATTTCCTTTCATCGTACACCTTAAGTTAACACCAAAATGACTAAACAAGGTTGTAATTATAGGCACAATAACATTAATCATTGTGTAGCTGTAGTTGCAGTGTTAAGTAAAGGTATCATTTGATGGAATATGTCAGTTAAAAGCATAAAATGTGCTTTTGTATTTCAGGTATCAGGTGATAAGTACACCGACAGATTTCTTCATGGTTATGGAATACGTGTCAGGAGGTGAACTATTCGACTACATATGCAAGCATGGACGGGTAAGACTTTTCACTGGTGTCTAATGTGGTTAATTAAGAGTTCCTGTGTCAAAGTAACAGTTTTGTCAGAAACCTTTGTTGTCTTATTGTTAATAATTACGTGTAATTACAGTATTGTATTCACTTAATGTAGTTGAAAGGACAGAATGTATGAATTTTGTGTTCATTTTAGTGGACACAAAAAGTGGCACAAACAAAGGTGAAATGTCCGGGCCTATAATTTAACATGTCAGTAACACCATTGTTTTGTGCAAAGGCAGTCCAATAAGGCACTCAAAAGCTTGTCATTGCAAAATAATTTAGCAGCAGCTAGCTCATAGTCAGCCAAGAGTCAGTAAGAGTCAATAATAATTCAAGCCAATAAAATAAAAAATAATAATCCTACTAAATGTATAATGTCACGAAAGTACATGGACACCTTCAGAGAAACTGCAGGGCTAATACAGCACAGGGTTACCCACTGTTCTATCTGTCCTAAATTTTAGTGGAGTCATTTCTGTTTGTTCTCTTAATCCTTCAGGTAGAGGACACTGAAGCTCGCCGTCTTTTCCAGCAAATCATCTCAGCTGTAGACTACTGCCACAGGCACATGGTGGTTCACAGAGACCTCAAACCTGAAAATGTCCTGCTGGATGCCAATAGGAATGCCAAGATTGCAGATTTTGGTATATTTTACTATATATAAATGTATATATGCTCCTACATATAATGTAAGACAAGAGGACAAAGAGGAGTGAAAACAATTTTAACAAAAAACTGCTTATTCAAGCTCAGGATTATTCCAGCTCACTGATAAGGAGTCTCATCGTGCTGTAGAAAAATATTTTAAGAACACATGTTGGTCTGTGCACCCAGCAGAGCGTATGGGCTGGAGAAACATTCCCTAGCAACGACGGGGTCTCATATCAAGTCTGGCAGGAAGCCTTGAGGCCCAGTGTCATATGATAGGGTGCAGCTGAAGTGTACAGCAGGAGAAGTGTTTTGACTCAGACCAACAGATGCTGTAAAACAGCAGAGCGGGAAAGTGTGAAGGAGACAGAGATAAGAAATAAAGAGAAGGTCAGCATCTGAGGCCTTGGCAGCCAAAGTGACGCTCATCCAATTACGGCAGATGAGCTTTGTGTTTGGAGCTTAAAGTCCTGGCACATAGAGCTGGATAAAGCTGTGGGCAGTGTCCACAGTACAGTAGTTCATCATGTGTGTGATAAACAGAGTTCAGTTTGTCCCCTAAAAGATCAACAGTTATCACATGACAACAGAGAATTATATTTTTACTGTATGTTATTGTTGGTGTGTTATGTGATTGTTTTGCTAATGTTTTATTGGTCGACAGGTCTGTCAAACATGATGTCAGATGGTGAGTTTTTGCGGACCAGCTGTGGCTCACCAAACTATGCAGCTCCAGAGGTCATCTCAGGAAGGTGTGTTTCTGTGTTTATTGGTTGTAATTTGAATCCGTAATCTATAAACCAACTAAAATATTAAAGGGTAAATGCACCTTTTCTAAAAGAAAAGTACAAATGTAGTTTTATATAATGTTGATTTTTGTCATAATTATTATTTTGTAGTAATTGTTAACTTTCTTTTGAGTGTATTTTTGAAAAAAAAAAAAAAAAAACGTAGCCAAGAACTTTTTATTGTACTAATCAAGTAATTAGTTGTAGTTTTGTTAATACTCCAGATATAAGGTAATTACGAATTATCACCCAAATACTGCCTAGTACAAATCTAGCTATGTCATAATTACTAACGATGTCAGAGATTAGGAATATTTATATTGCTAAATGGTTAATGATAAAACTGGTGAAGATTTTAACAATAACATGCACATAACATGTTATGTCCAATTTCTGCATGTCTTGAAGAAATTCAGTGTTTTCGTTTTTCATGTCTGTATCCATCAGTTTGGGAGATGTTAAATCCCTTCTCCTCTCCCTCAGGCTGTATGCAGGCCCAGAGGTGGACATCTGGAGCTGTGGTGTGATCCTGTACGCTCTGCTCTGTGGGACTCTGCCTTTTGATGATGAGCATGTCCCCACACTCTTTAAAAAGATTAGAGGGGGCGTCTTTTACATCCCAGAGTACCTGACCCGTTCTGTGGCTTCGCTGCTGATGCACATGCTACAGGTGGACCCCCTTAAGAGAGCCACCATCAAAGATATCAGGTACTTGGTACTCTGTGTTTGAAATAAAGGCCTTTATCTTTGGGATGACTACTATTTCTGGTTAGTCTGTATAATAAAAAAAATCAAATTTTAGATTTATGTAGATTTAGAGTAATGGACGGTGAACCCAGTTGCTTCCCTTTTTATCTTGCTCCTGCTCTTTTCATTCAAACTGTTCCATATCTGAGGTGTTGGTACACAATGATGTTGAATGACTAGCTAGTACAGTAACTGCCCTATGACCTTGTCAGTCATAACTGATGTAAATGTCCTCTGTCAGGGAACATGAATGGTTTAGGCAGGACCTGCCGTGTTACCTGTTCCCTGAGGACCCTTCGTATGACGCTACAGTGGTGGATGAGGAAGCAGTCAAAGAAGTGTGTGAGAAGTTTGAGTGCACCGAGCCTGAGGTCATCTCCAGTCTTTACAGTGGAGATCCACAGGTAATCATTTGGACCAAATATATTAACATATATGGCACAATATTTTAAGTCACTTAAACAAATCTCCTGGTCACAAACATCACTGCAATTTCTGTTAACTGTCTCCTCATTCAGGATCAGTTAGCAGTGGCCTATCACCTTATCATAGACAACCGACGCATCATGACCCAGGCCAGTGAGTTCTACTTGGCCTCCAGTCCGCCCCAGGGTTCATTTATAGAGGAAGGAATGCCACTGCCCCCTGGGGTAAAACCCCACCCAGAAAGGATGCCACCACTCCTGGCAGATAGCCCTAAATCACGGTGTCCCCTGGATGCTCTAAACACCACCCGACCCAAACCTCTGGCAGTGAAAAAGGCCAAGTGGCATCTGGGTATAAGGAGTCAGAGCAGACCCTATGACATCATGGCTGAAGTGTACAGGGCTATGAAACAGCTCAATTTTGACTGGAAGGTAAAACGATTTGTCTCACACCGTTTGTGTCCACTACACATCCTTCTCCTCCATATGAAGAGATCATCTGTCTTTGTGTTTGATAGGTGGTGAATCCATACTATCTTCGAGTGCGAAGGAAGAATCCGGTGACGGGAAACCTGGTGAAAATGAGCCTTCAACTCTATCAGGTAGACAACAGATCGTACCTCCTGGACTTCAAGAGCATCGACGGTGAGTGATGTCACCTGTTCAGTCAAGAAAAGTTGAATCATTTGACCGTATTCATACAGCAGCGGTCTTCTTTGCTTCTTTTGAATGTCTCT